AGAAAGGCCAAACTTGTCTATTTCCAGCCAGAGAGTAAGATTAACTTGGAGTACTCTTGGAGTTTATTAAATCAGAAGAAAGACTGAATAGCACGGAATAGCGCGTTAACAAACGGATCGAGCTGAAAATTGGAGCATAATAACTCGAACGCGATTGATCATTTGCGAACGCGATTAACCGCGCGCCCGCGAGCGAGCTCTCATCGGGCAAGCATCGGCTCGACGTAGGGAACATTGACCTTCGCCGCGGTCGTCCACGGGGCGGTACAGGGAAATACACGGATGGAAATACGCGAGAAGCCGTTCAACGAGGCGGGGACCGAGATTCATGGCTGAATCGGCCGCAAATTGCGGTGAAAAAGGCGAGAGTTGGCCGTGTAACTTTCTTCCTCTTCCCGGGCGGTCGGGAGAGGTTGGCTCCGCGATTTTTGTTTTCATTTGATTACCCTCGAGCCGCGAGCCCTTCGCTCCACCCTACTAGCCGTCCGAGAGGGTGCGAAACGGATAGCAATGACGGCGGTTGCCGAACGAAACACAGGAGAGGTAAAGAGGGAAGGGGAGAGGGTTGCGAAACGGGGGCCGTTTCGCGCAACTTTCGCGAAATAACTTTGCGGATAGCGCGGCGAGAGTTCTCTCCGCCGTGAGAGATCCCCGTTATTTTCTCGAGGTGGGAATCGATAGGACCACCTATATACGCCGGACATGCGGCAGCGGCAGTGGCGATGGTCGTCGACACGCTGGGTTGGGTTAGGTTAAGCCCGAGCGCTTAGCCTGATAGCACCAACGGGCCGGCTGTGTGATGCGCTAGGTGTTTACATCGCGGAAGGCCACCGCACAACGAGCGCCTAGGTGCCATGACCTAGGACGAAAAAGGAAGCGCCTAGGAGAGATCGTTTCTCACCGCCTTCTCCCCCCTTGCGCCTCCCTCGCCGTCGCCGCTGCCGCCTCTCGCTCGTTTCCTCATCAACGTCGAGGGATTACTTTCTCATTTAGATTTTATCTCGCGTCTACCCACTGCCGCCCTCATCGCCGCCCGTCGCCCCCGACGCGATCTTCTGCTTCTCTTTCAGCTTGTCTCTTATGTTCGCCTCCAACGACCATTTCTCGATTCCTTCTCCCGGCCAGGCTCCTTTGTTTTTACTAATTACCCAGGACGTCAGCCATCGACCTCTTCCCGCAACTCTCTCTCTCTCTCTCTGTCCCTCTTCCGCCACCCGCTCGCCATCACGATTCCTCCGCCGATCATTAGGCGACTAGCCAAGAGGGTGTCCAACGAATCGCCGTCCCTCCGACGTTCTCGATCCTCTCTCGGGCTTTCGTCCCGCTTACGGATAGGTGAATCGATATCTCGTGACGAGGCGAACGTTGACGGCGAGCATCGTTTGAATTAGATCAACAATTTTCTGATTTTAATGTATTATACTTAATTAAAATTGATTTCGATCGCGTCATTTATTGCGTCGTGAGCTTAAATGATTTCAGTGAAATCGATAGACTTTTTATTTTCTTTGACGCCGCGAAAAACCTATCGAAATAATCCGTGCGAGAAGGGCGATACGTCGACAAATCGAGAATCTGGCCCGTACAATGTCCAAGGGTCGTACCCAACAATCGCGGTTGATGCCGCGCTGGCTGCAGCTGCCGCGGCAAAAAATGAGCCGCGATTGTTTTATCGCCCCTCGGTCCGCCCGATGGTCAACCGGTCTTTCTCCTCTCATTATTATGATTACCCGATGGGCGATGGGTCGGGTACAACGAGGGGCGGGAAAAGGGATGAAAAAAAAAAAACGAAATTCATCCCCTTGTCCGGAGTCAGCCGGTCCTATCTACCGACCTACCTGGGCTCTCCGTCGGCCCTTGTCCTTCTTTGTATCCCGATGAAGTACACAGCGTACGCGTCGACGATAGAGGCGACGAAATCCAATTTTTTCCCTTTTATCGACCCTCCTCAGGCCTACCCCTGTCTCGAAAGAGAAGTAGCCCATGCGATGCGCCACATGCCGTCGTCGTTGGCCGTTCGCGTATATGCAAATTTCGTCGGCGCATTGTCTGCGAGCTGCCCCTTACTCACCCCCTCTCACCGCGCCGTCCACAAAAGATCCAGGTCAAACTTTCATCCGGTTAGAAATTTTTATTTTTCGATCGAGCGAAACGACAAAGCGGGTTACCCCGTACCGAAGAAAGGGGGATGGGACGCGAGGAAGAAAGAGAGACGGTACGCGACCGGTGCACCTTTCGTGGCGCGTAACGGTCGATCGTAGTGTCGCCCTAAGACAATCGATACAATTACGAGGAGCCGCCGGAGATGTAGGTAGGGAGACGAAAGGATCGTCTGCGAGATCCCTCTTTTTCAACCGTGGCCACCCTTCCTTGCCGCGGTTCCCTCCCTTTGGGCTGCGTCTTCCTGCGGAAGAAGCGTTCGTCGCGGTTGATGCTTCGGAGATGAAAAAAAAAACGAGAACTTGGAGAAAACAGTTTGACGATATCTCAAAACTCGAAGCCAATTACAAGCTCTTTTATCCTACAATTTTTTTCATTTATAAAAAGTGTTTCTTATCGCTACACGATATTTTTATATTCTATTACTATGTAGGAACGCAGTCCTCATATTAAAATGTTGACATGTAATTTCGTTGATAAAATCGGAAAACACAATTTTCCATTTTACATTATTGAATATTTTGTTTACGGACGCAAAAGTTTCGTAGGCAGAAAATACAATCGTGGCGAGAGCGAATTGAAAACGTCGGCCCCAGCCCTCGGAACAGATCGATCCCGAGTCTCTCCGCATCATATGCAACGAAATCATACCTCGACGCGTAGTCTGCAGGTCGTAATAAGATCCAGCCTCTCTATCGACGAAAGGCTCGCGCTAGGGAATGCCGCTGGAGAATTTCCAGAGGCGAGGCACGCCGACCTGGGGGCGGCCGAGCAACCCCCGTGGAAGCGCGATGGAGCGAGCTGCGGTCAGCGCTAGGATTCGAAATACGATGGTGTACGTACCCGGTTACGTCGCGTACGCAATGCCGTTGTGTTAACCTTATTGTCACGGTGGTACCGAAGCATGTAAAGCCGCACGGACGCCTCCAAATTGTTATTGCATACGAGAGACGGAGACGGAGTAAACCGATCGACGTGCCAGGCAGGTCGAGCTTCTCCAGAGATTAAAAGCCACCCTTTTGACTTAAGTATCCGAATAGTTAATTTGACAGAAATATCCTTGTCACGAGATTACCAGAGATGAATCGTTAGTGTCTCGCAAATATTTCAATCCTAATACTTAAAAAAAATTATTGACTAATAAGTCAAATTCTGAATAAACACGCATTCTAAATATAGTTTTTTGCTGAAAACATTTCTATTGTAAATTTGGGAATATTTAAAATCACGAAGGAAGAAAAAAAAGGTACTTTTTAACGCTATCTTCTTTCGTCTATCTCCTCGCTATAAAGTACTATAGGGTGTGCTGTGGTCAGTGCCACGATTCGAAATACACGATGAACGTGAACTCCATTCTGGCGTGTACGCAACAACGGCGTGCTAACCTTACTGTCACGGCAGGGCCAAAGGGATGTAAAGCCACGATAACGCCTCCAAATCGTTATTGGGTAGCGACAGAGAAGCCACCCTTCATCGTTTACCAGCCGTTCTATGGCCCCTGGGATGGAGTGTTGGAGATACTAGCGAAGGCTGCTACTTTAACTATCGCGTTAAATCGCGTAAAACCTGTAATTGAATACTCGAGCACAGTCGTTAATCCGTACCTTCCTGGGGATGCCGTCGTTGGTTCTTTCTCGCCAGGTGTCTACTGGCAACGATCGGTGGACGCAAATTAAATCCAGCCTTGAAAATATAAGTAGCATCGAAAATATCGATCTTACGAATGCCCAACTTGGTGCTGACTGCTCGGTTAACTCGCGCCTAAACTTGAGAAGACGTCTTCCCCTTTAATAATAAGAAGTTTCTACAGCGGATTATCATCAACCTACCACGGATATTTATCACGAGTAATTATCAAGAATTCAGATTGTTTGTCGAGTTAAAAAATAACTTTAATTAGCAATGGAACAATCGCGGATTAATTCGCTCTATCACGAGCCTTGCGAAGTTTATATAAGGCTTCGTTATATCTTCGAGAGAAAACTACCTTCTCTGGCCTACGAGCTACTAGCGTAATAGAGGAGAAAGAGGAGGAGAGGCGAGGCAAAAATTAGGCGCCAGTTTCCGCGCCTAATTCCCGCAACTAAATGATCTAAATCGCATTCGCACCCTCTGTCGAGGTGGGATGTATCAACGCGATCGTTTTCGTAGCTGTCGGCGCCGCTGGCCATGAAAACTTATCCGGATTCGAGAGAGGAGCGGCGTTGGCCGGTTACCGTCATTACAAACGGTCTGCGCGATGTACATGGCGTCATCCACCTGACGCCTCGGTGCGCCTAGCCGCGCAGCGTCGCGCGCGCGCCGGGCTGGGCACGGCCGCGCGCAGAACGCAGAGCGCAGAGAGCGCACAAACGCACACACAGGCAATGTGGAGCGCAGCGCATCGCACACAGCGCACATCGTCCTGCTGGTCGCGGGCGGGGTGGCGCGAGGAAGACGGCGAAAGAGGAAGGCGCGCGTCCGAGTAACCGAGCAAACGCCGGTTCGTGGTCCGAGCGGGCGGAAAGAGAAAGCGAGACGAAACAACGGCCGTGCGAGAGAAGCGACGGAGAACGCGAAAGAGAGACGAGAGAGAGAGGACAAACGGGAGCGGGTGGATGGACGGACGGACGAACGGACGGATGGACGGGCGCACGGGCGAATGTGCGAGAGGGCGAACGGTGGCGGCAGGGAACCGGTGAGGGAGCGAGATGGAGCGCGGGTGGAGGGCCAGCGCGCGTCCGAGAGAGGGTTGGTGGCTCGCTTCGGCACGGTTTAGGCGGCGGGCGGCGTGTGGTGCAATAGAGGCGGCGAAGAGGTGAGGTGGGGGTGCCCGGCACGGGGCCACGGCGCAGTTGCTACTCAGACACGGGGATGCTCGCAATGCCTCTATCAAAGGTTACCGAAATCCTGCGGAAATATCCGCGTAAACGCGGCGGGCCGTGCCGTGACGATTCGTCGGAGACGCGTGTCGCGATCGCGGAGGTGCTCGTACGCGAGAAATCGGAGAATTACGCGAAAGACCTCGCGCCGCGTGTATAAGTCCGCGTGTACGGGAGAGAAAGGAGGGACCGGGAACGGCTTGGGGGGCGGCTTCTCGCGGGGCTTCCCCCGAGGAGGCAATCCGGAGTACTTTGTACGCTCGGGAACGTAAGGAGCGATCTACAAAAGGGAGAAAGAGAGCAAGACGAAAGATCTCACGAGAGAGGATCGGCGAGAGAGGGAGCGCCGAGAAAGGAGGAGGTGAAGGAGCAAGAGCGGACTCCGAAGAGTCCTTTCTACCCCAAGATCGCCACCCCGCGACGTGCCAGCAGACACTGCCGACTCGCGAGGAGCACGTGGGGGAGAAAAGTCCGGGAAAGCACGAGGATGGAGAGAGCGCGGCGAGATAGAAAGAGGGAGAGGGAGAAAGGACGTGAGACAGGGAGCTTACGAGGGTGCGAGAAGGACGGAGGCAGCGTCCCGACGCGTCTTACCACGACGCGCAAGGAGCGACGCCGCGCGCCTCTCTAGAAGGGGAAAGAGAGAAGGTGGAGGGGGCGGGCGAGAACGTCGCGGCGGGGGTGGCAAAGACGCTCATTCGTTCCTCGAGTCACGTGGCCCCCTTCTTATACCAAGGGTTTTTCCTTTTGTCGCGCGGGAGATTCGAATGGCCTTTGACCGACGCCGACGTGGACTCGGGGGATGCCTCGAGGGTGGGTACACCTATCGATGATGCCAGATCCGTCGGGTAATTTGCATGGATAAAGTCTTCCTTTAATTTTATCGCACTTTTATTTTAACATCCAAGATGATATCTGACTTGGAATTTCATTTCGGCTAGTTTCGCGAGGGGTGACCCCGAGCAACCCCTTTCAAAGAATTATAATTCAACTTTTCAAAATTTAAAGATCGCTTTTTTCAAATTGTTTTACAAATTTAAGTCTACATTTTAGTTTTTTTACTTTTCACTTTTTGTATACTGATATTTAATTCAAAGTTAGTAATTGATTTAACTTTGAATACAAATTAAATTGCTCTCGGAAATCGCGATTCATTCAACAACTTGAAATCTGTCATGATCGATGTACCCTATCGTTGCTCGTACGCTTCTCGGTCCCTCCGCAAACGTTTCACGAGATTCGAAATTCCGAATACCGTAACCGTACATCGTTCTACCGAAAAAATCGCGTTAAAAAAAACGAAGCAATCGGTGGATCCGTTCGCGGTGAATCACCGCGAGCAGGACCCACCGTCAATCACGAAGTCGTTCGGCGAATCGATCGTAACGAGGACCTACGGGGGCTCGGCGACCCCCTTTCTTTTCTGTTTCAGACGCGTCGCACTGTGTTGTTATGTGTGTTGTCATAATTATTTCATTGAAAAATTAATTTCGCCGTTTCCAAAACAATCACCGATTTCTGTCTGTGAAACACAACGTCTGAACAACTCCTCTTAAGTTTTGCCGAAAGGACTCAAATAATTTAGAGAAGCTAAAACACACTTTCGAGCGATCCTGATTTCAAAATTACGACGATTACGAAGACGACGATTAAGAAGAAAAAGGAGAAAATACAGAAAATCAAGAAAAATACGCGAAAAAAAGCACCAAAAAAAGAGAAGAAACGAAATTGAAACAAAAGCATTGCCTTAAAGAAGAAGAGTACACCTACACTGTCGAAGGAACAAACGAGAGACACAGGGGGGAAAGAAACAAAAAAGATAACACTTTAGACGCCTACAAAGTAAATTGTAAAGATATGACTAAAGTATATTTTTAACAAGTTTTGAGAAACTTTAGATTTTAAACGTAAATTTAAAAGCGAAAAATGAAAAAAAACGATAAAATTCTTAATAACTAAAAATGTGATCTAAAAGTCGTTGCTACCAAGAGAAGCCTTATGTCCTTGTTTCAGTTAGTTCGGTTCTAAACGTAAGTACCCCACCAACTAACTGGATATCGATCTTTGCATGTGGCATGCCTGTAATACATTTTTCCTCTGTCCATTATTCTAACGCGAGAGAGATCTTCGTTCCGGAGTCGCCGCTCGGGAGGAAGGGTTCGCCATGTCCATGCTCCGAAAGGAGCGGGAGAGGCCCCTCGAGCGAATCCTCTTCCGCGGATCGCGTCGGATGCGCGATTCGCCGAGAGAGAACGAAGGGGCGCCGACTTGCTCGCGGAACGAAGATCCGTCGTGCCGCTTAGCGGCCGGTTCATAAACGGAACGATAAATCTTTCGGTGATCGGCACTTAAATCCGTATCGTGCGAATAACATTACGTCCAAAGGCAACTGTTTTACAAGTTACTCCGTAATGACAGCCCTCGCGCGCGCGCGCGGCACCACCTAACAACGGCCGCTATAAAACTTAGCCGGCGTAATGCATACTTTCGCGCGGGCCGCGCCGCCTGCCTACCATTGCTCGCTTCGCTCTTTCGCTCGCTTATATATATATATATATCTCTCTCTCTGAACGGCCACGGCTTATTACGGTAAAACAGTTAGACGCGAAAGTGTCCGTAATAATAGCGACTACCGTAATGACTACTGTTACCCGCTAGAGAATCGCTGTTATGTATATTACCATTATAATTCGCGGATTATTAAGTAGTGTGCAACGACTTGATTGTTGGCCTGTCACAGGACGAACCTCAAACATATTTCAGAACAAATTTCTCGGCAATAGAGAGTATAGTTCGCTATGTATTTATTATGAATTCTTTCGTCTTAACGTAAACTATTTCGATTTCGTGAATAAGTTTCCATCCGGGCTTGATTTTCTTTCAACATTTAAACGATAACGAATTTTTGATAATCTTAAAAATACAAAAAAAATTCTATAAAAGATAATCGTTGCATTTGCTACTAACTGCATGCGATTCTGATCGTATATCCGTGACAACGTAGCAAATTATTTTTCATACAAAATTCTCTTTGTCGGATTAATCATTTCACGATGTCGAGCAGAGCAAACTTTCCGCTTTGCTCGCAAAAAAAACGAAAAAGGGGAAAAAATATCGAAAAAGGGGTGAGAATCGCGAATCCCCGAGACAAAGAGCGCGCGGTACGCGAAATCATTCTATTTCCCGAGTTCGATGACGCACCCCCGGGTTTGGTGCCAGGCCCGGGAGCTCTACCGATGATCAAGGGTGATGCGGGAGAAAGAGGGACGAGGGTGGGCTCGGCGAGCGGTGATGCGGAGCTTCGATTTCAAATTTCCTATTTCCCGACGAGTTGGCCTGTGTTGAAAACGTAGCGTGCAACGTAGCAACGCACACGCGAAAGAGGAAGAGAGAATTGCATATACTCTCGACACAATCCCCGGGGGGAGGGGGGGTTGGAAGAAAATGACGGTGGGACGCGGCGACGGCCGGGGGCGTCGGTAGCGGCGGCGGCGCCACGGCGGAACATCGGCAACCCCGCTTTCGCCGTGTATTTTTTCGATGATTTTCGAGCTCGCGTATGTGTATCGTACGTGCACGCGTTCCTCCACGCATATACATGTGAACGGCCCTATCACCCCCTTCGACTGGGTCGTCGATGGTTGGCGTTGTTGCGCCGGGGATGCCATCGGAGGAAGAGCGGTAACGACGGGCGGGAAGGGAGGGGGCGGGTGGTAGTCGGCGGCGGAAAGGCGTTAGGGTGCCCCTGGGTGGAAAGAGGAGGTGGTGCAACGGTGTCGGTGGTTGCATGAACCGGTTGATAGATAGAGAGCGAGGGAGAGCGGCGGTGGCGTGCGAACGGAGATAGAACGGCCGTGAGATACGGCCGAGGGAACCGGGGGCGGCGGTGGGCCTGCATGCACTTTTTTTTCCGCACCCCGCGTATTGATCCCGGAGTCATTCAAAATGGCGGCCGGGGCCGAGTCAGCCAATGACTGCCTGAATCGATGACTGCAGCGAGCCACCCCCGGACCGGCCAATGGGAGGCCAATGGGAGGCCGTCGCACGCCGTTCTCTGCGGGAACTACCACCCCGATATACGAGACACAAGCCTCCCACGTTGTGTACCCTGGTACACACATAGACACGTATGCACACACACAGATGCGTGCCCTCGTGTGCGTGTTGTGTAGCTGTTCGGTCCGCCGGGTAGAGCTCGTCGATGACCCGGGCGACGTCAATGATTTCCGCGGAAAATTTTCCCCCCAAAAATGGCAAAACTTGCCGTTCGCTCCACCGGCCGGGTATCCCGGACCAGAGCTCCCAGTCGCTTTGATTAACGATCTTCCTATGTATATATTTCGCCGCTCTCCCCCCGCTTTATCCCCCTCGTACTTTACGGCAAATATACGAGGCGGAAAGTACTGACTGCGCAGGCAAAAATATTCCCGATCATCGACCGGCGTCTGCCATCTTTCATGACTCTCGTCATTGCACAAATCTGCCCGCGACGGTGTTCGCTACAAAATAAACGAGATTCGCTGGCCGCATTTATAATTCTACTAAATCATTCGTTCGTTCTAAATCATTAAAAATAAAATTCATTGTTTCTCGGTATCATCGATGTTACGAAATCCCTATCCGTGAATCCGCGTTATGCTTCGTCTTCGTATTTCCATTATATCGTACAGTGCCTAATAAATTATTTCGTTCTTTCTGCGCCGTCAATTTGAACGATTAAAAACGATTTGCAAATAATTAAAAAGGACTCGCTCTTCTGAAGACGTTCCACGTCGTCGCGCGTGTAGTCGCGATTCGGCAATCGGCGCTTTTAAAAATTAAATTTAATACGATTACGACATCCTCGTAGATATTTTCATGAGAAATACGGATATTTCTGACGGGCAGGTTTTCCGAGCTTCAAAGCTGAGATTTTACGTTTCGCTTCGTAAGAACGGTGCGCGGCGTATTTTTCCGATAACACGCGAGGCGCGTCAGTTTTTTCCGGCACGACTGTCGCGATGCCGCCCGAAGTCACGATGCTATCTTCGTCACCTTGATCCTGGATCCGCGCACGCTTATCTTATCTCTTGAGGTTCGCGTAAAGTCTTAGAAAACACGAGAGCGATAGATACGCCGGTGGTACTCGCGCGGATCGACCGCTAAATCGCGATCACCGTCGCGTTGGACGCGTTCGGGACGCGATTTGAGGAGCCGGAGATCGATCGCGGAGGATGGTTAAAATTTCAGGTCCACATCGACAGATCGATCGATTACGTCTGATCGCGGAATTCGTTACCACACTTTGCGCATAGCGCGGGACAAAGAGAATGTCGAAACTGCGCGAGGCACGAGGCACACGATTGCATCACGAGTCGCAGTGTGCGGCGAGCTGCATTACGTATGTGTGTGCATATGTACTTAGATTGGCTCCTATTGACACAGCCGCAGACGACAGTGGTGGTACAGTCGGGAAAAATAGATGCGACGCGTTCCGCGGGCGCTCCGTGTCCATGCCGCGACGACGATGCTCACGCATGCACGCACGTACGCGCTAACGGCGCACGAGACGCACGCCCATACGCGGGCCTTTGATCTCGCGACGCGCATTTGACATCCTGAATTATCCGGAATCGGCGGGTATCGATTATCGGCGGGATCGGTTGTCTAAACAGCCGGGGCCACACCACGCTGTATCGAGTACACACGCGAACTCGACCGAATCTACAATTCATCCTTTTTAAACGCTTTTGTCCTTTTCACACGGGGTAAATTATTCCCCCGACCGCGACGCGGTCCGAAATAATTTGATTCATTACGCGCGTTTGCCGCGTTTGGTTATATTTAATGCGGCGAATGTAGACTCGCGCATGCACGCACCGCGCACCGACTCGTCCCGACGAGCGTTCTCTCATATTTAATGTAAATCAAATTTAGAACCGGAACAAAGTACACCAGTCAGCGGCGAGGCAATTCTACACGTTTGCTCGATTACTGTTAATTAGCCGTCCATCCAAACGGGATCTAAAAAATTCACAAGTTGTCTCGCTGTTGCCCGTCCAGTTTGCCGGATCACTGACTCCGCGCGATGGTTTAGGTACATCGACGACTTCGCCCTTCCAACCTTCGTTCGACATGCCGCAAATTGAAGGAACGTCGATATCTAAATAATCCACGCGATTTTCCACGAGAGGCAACAAATTTTATTAAAACTCCGCGTTAAATAGTTAATGTTTAAAGTGGCACCAAGTTTTTCGATGGACGTTAAATCGCGTCGAGCTCACCACGGTATGCTCGTCGACGACTAGGGGAGAAAGAACGGGCGATGCACTTTCTGACGCAGCTGTACTAAGTGCACGACGGAATGGGTTTTTCTAGCGCGGGCAGTTTTTCTATTAAGCTTCATTTGTTTCTTTCATTGCGTAATGCGCCGGACGCGTCGCTCATTTCATCCTACAGCCGACCGGCTACTCCTACCGTTAGAATTCTTAATCCGGGCCGTCAGTTTCGATGGCTCGCGTGCTGCACGTTCCTCCGATTCGCCGATCCGACGAGAATCGCGACCGTCGCGACGATCCTAATCTCATTTCCCGGCGAATAAAGTAGTGTGCCTCGCGTATCGCGGCGCGTTCGCCACGATAATACGACAACGCGCATGAAGGTGGTCGTGGATTAATACCGATGTAACAGATCTCGGTGAGTTCAATTGTTCGACGCTATGACTACGAGAATGTAGTCTTTACACCGCATATCTCGCGTTTCCGTCGTCACGCAAGAAACACAAACGTCCCTTTCTTGCATCTTGTAAATTTCATATCTGAACTCACCGGAATTACACAAGTTTACTACTCGGCGATATCCTGTTATTTATTCCATACAAATTTTACGAGAGCGTTCTCTTTCCAACGAATATAAGAAAAAAAAAAAGAATATCAGAATATAAGAAAAATCTTATAAGTATCTAAAAGCTGTAGAGTATAGTCTTTCGAACTTTCTGTGAGTTATTTTTAGATATCTTTCGCGAAGCTACCGCATTGCTTAAATTTTATTT